TTTGAGATCCTGATTTCAATTATTTTGGATATATACCTGGAAGTGGGATTTCTGGATCATGTGGTAGTTCTATTTTTAATATTTTAAGGAGCCTCTACAGTTTTTCGTAGTGGCTGCACCATTTTGCATTCCCATTAACAGTATACAAAGGTTCCAGTTTTCCATATCTTTGCCAGCATTTGTTGTCTTCATTGTTTTTGTTTTTTTGATAATAGCAATCCTGACAGGTATGAGGTGATACCTCATTTGATTTGCCATTTCCCTGATGATTCGTAACATTGAACATTTTTTATATACCTGTTGGCCATTTGTATGTCTTTGGAGAAATGTGTATTAAATCCTTAACCCTTTTTTTTTTTTTTTTTTATTTGCGGTCCGTGGGCCTCTCACTGTTGTGGCCTCTCCCGTTGCGGAGCACAGGCTCAGCGGCCATGGCTCGCGGGCCCAGCCGCTCCGCGGCACGTGGGATCTTCCCAGACCAGGGCACGAACCCGTGTCCCCTGCATCGGCGGGTGGACTCTCAACCACTGCGCCACCAGGGAAGCCCTTCAACCCATTTTTAAATTGGGTTTTGTGTTTTTATTATTGAGTTGTAAGCATTTTTCGTACATTCTAGATACAAGTCCCTTATCAGAAATATAATTTGAAAGTATTTTCTCTCATCTTTTGGGTTGTCTTTTTACTTTCTTGATGGTATCCTTTGAACACTAGTTTTGATAAAATCCAATTATCTTCTTTTTACGTGTCACTTTTGCTTTTGGTGGTGTAGCGCTTTTGGTGGTGTAGCTAAGAAGGTTTTTCCTACCCCAAGGTGATGAAGATTTACTTCTAAGTTTTCTTCTAAGATTTTATAGTTTTAGTACTTAAAGTTATGATCCATTTGCAGTTAATTTTTGTATATGGTCTGAGGAAAGGGGGAAGGGTCCAACATCATTTTTTTGCATATAGGGATATCCAGTTGTCCCAGCACCATTCATTTAAAAAGACTATTCTGTTCCCATAGAAATGCCTTGGGACTCCTGTTGAAAATCAGTTGACCATAAATAAGAGGTTTCGCTTCTGGAACTTCTATTCTGTTGGTCTCTGTTTATTCTTGTGCCAATATCACACTGGCTTGATTACTGTATGTAGCTTTGTAACTTTTAAAATGGGAAGTGTGAGTCTTCCAAATTTGTTCTTCTTTGTTAAGATTGTTTTGGCTGTTTGTGTTTTTTTTGTATTTCCATATGATTTTTAGGATTACTTTGTCAATTTCTGCAAAAAATCCAGCTGGGATTTTGAACCTATAGGTCCGTTTGGGGAGTATTGACGTCTTAACAATGTTGTCTTCTGAACCATGAACATGGGATGTCTTTCCATTTATTTAAGTGTTCTTTTTTTTTTTTTTAATTTGTTTTTGGCTGCATTGAGTCTCTGTTGCTGTGCCTGAGGTTTCTCTAGTTGCGGCGAGTGGGGGCTACTCTTCATTGCAGTGCGTGGGCTTCTCGTTGTGGTGGCTTCTCTTGTTGTCGGAGCATGGGCTCTAGGCACATGGGCTTCAGTAGTTGTGGTGCACAGGCTCTAGAGCGCAGGCTTCAGTAGTTGTGGCGCATGGGCTTAGTTGCTCTGCGGCCTGTGGGATCTTCCCGGACCAGGGCTCAAACCCGTGTCCCTTGAATTGGCAGGTGGATTCTTAACTACTGTGCCACCAGGGAAGCCCTATTTAAGTGTTCTTTAATTTGTTTTAAATGTTTGTAGTTTTCAGTATACAAGTTTTGTACTTTTGTTATATTTATTCCTAAGAATTTTATTATTTATTGATGCTATTGTAAGTGGAATTGTTTTCTTAATTTCATTTTCAGATTGTTCATTGCTGGTGTATAGAAATACAATTGATTTTTCTTTTTCGGCTGTCCTGTGTGGCATGTGTGTTCCTAGTTCCCTGACGAGGGATCGAACCTGTGCCCCCTGCAGTGGAAGCCTAGGGTCTTAACCACTGGACTGCCAGGGAGGTCCCCAACTGATTTTTGTATAGTGATCTTATATCCTGTAACCTTGCTGAACTTGTAAAAAAAATCAGTTTTGATAATTTTTTAGTGGATTTCTGGGACTTCGCTGGTGATCCAGTAGTTAAGACTTCGTGCTCCCAATGCAGTGGGCCTAGGTTTGATCCCTGGTCAGGGAACTAGATCCTGTATGCCTCAACTAAAAGATTCTGCACTTGGCAACAAAGATCCCACGTGCTGCAACTAAGACCCAGTGCAGCCAAATAAATAAATAAATATTTTTAAAATAATAATAATTTTTTAGTGGTTTTCTTAAGATGAAAATCTTAAGGTCTATATACAAGATCATGTCATTTGTGAATGTGGTTTTACTTCTTTCTTTCCAACCTGGGTGCCTTTAATTTCCCTTTCTTGCCTAATTGCTCTGGCTAGAACCTCCTTACCATGTTGAGTAGAAGTGACGAGGATAAACATTTTTATCTTGTTCCTATCTTAGGGAGAAACATCCAGTCTTTCACCATTAAGTATGATGTTTGTTAGCTGTGGGTTGTTCATAGATCCCTTATCAGGTTGAGGATGTTGAGTATTTTTATCATGAATGTACTGAATTTTGCTTTGTCTTTGGAGATGATCATGTGTTTTTTGTTGTATTTACATTTATATGAGCTCTTCCATTCATCTTGTAGTAAGTCTCATGTATTACAGAAATAAAAGTTTAGTTGTCATGAGCATTTGGATAAATGGTAAGAAGGCTTTAGAGTAGGTGAGATTACTCAGAGAGAGCATGTAGAAAAAGAAGGTGCCCAAAGATGGTACTCTGAGGAATATAAATATTCAAGCTGCCATATGCAATGCTAAATTTAATTTTATTTCAATTAGTAGATTTGTTTTAATGAAAACTTCATCTAAGTTAGGAGGTTGTGGTTTTTACTTTACTAAGTAATTGTGCTATTAACTGCAGCTGTTGATGTGTCTGAAGAATCTCTGGTAACAGGGCAGAGGTTTTCTGCCCTTTATTTGATTGGTTTTTGTATCAGGGTAGAACCTGATACAAATACAAAAATAAGTATTGAAGGTGTAGGCAAAAGAGAATTAGCATGAGTTTTTGAGATGAATATGTACATGGTGAGTAAATGGTAGAACTTTACACTTTGTGAACACTATTAGTTCCATAAATTGACCATTTGAACACTATTAGATGCTGGACTTTACCTTTTCTCTACTTAAAGGAATGTTTGTGTGAAAACAAAAAATTAATTTGTGGGAAATTTACTTCATATAGTTGGTATTCTGAGGCACGCATAATAGTAAATAGCAACAGATCCTCAGATGGTATTGAGAGCTAGATAGTGCTTTCTCTTGTCATTTTTGCTTTGTCCTTTGAATTATTGCTACTTATAAAGTAATGTCTCCTTTGATTTCATTATCACTTCTATCAGTTACTATGAGAAAACCCTGATTTTAAGGCATTAAAACTGATAATGGTCACAGTAGCTTGTGGGTGAGACTACCTGTTAGATTCTTTAAAATTTTATTTATTTATTTTGGCTTTATTGAATATAATTGATAATGTGAAGTTGTATATGTTTAATGTGTACAACTTGATCTGATGTACATTGTGAAATATTCACCAAAATCAAGATAATTAATATATTTATTGCCTCATATGGTTACCATTTTCTTTTTTTTTTTTTCTTGAGGTGCTAACGCTTAAGATCTACCTTTTTAGTAAATTTAAAGTATATAATACAATATTGTTAACTAAATCACTATATAAGACATTTTGACCCTTAGCAGTAGCCGAACTGAATGGCAGCAGTTAAGATCTAAGTATGTAGCAATGTGCGTTAACTATTCTGAATTTAAATTAGTTGATAGTCTTAGAGTCTATTGCAAAAAGTTATTGAAGTTCTCCAATTTAATCATAAGTAAGTAATTATTTGGTTGAACTAAAAAAATCCTTGTTATATTGAGTAACTCATCAAATGATATGACTGGTAAAAGTTAATTTGTGAGGTGTTTGTTACCTGAAATTTTGTTTCTTTCTTGAACTACATTATAATTATCCAAAATCATGTGAATAAGGTAACTGAGAATAATAGATGTTTTACTTGAGGCACAAAAAAGTAGAATGTTGACTGATAGCTAACTATGAATTAATACTAAAGTTAATAGAAAGTGGGCCGCCCCACCATGATGCCCTCAACTTATAAACTATCTTAAGATACATTACAGGCGCTTACACATCTATTTGGAGGGTCAAAACCCAAATCAGGTTCTTAAAAGACAAATCAGAATAGCTCTGTAATGTAACAAGGAGAGATATATTTAATTACTACTACAAACATTTCTCCTGTTAAACGTTAAACGTACAAGATATTTTAAAACATATATTCACAGCAGAAAGATTGCTGACTTAGCTATTTCTAAAACAAATGTTTCCATTTAGTCCTAATCCATAGTCCTTAAAAATTTGGAGAACTAATTCACTTCTTTGCCATCATTAAATAGATAACAAATGAGACTGTAATCACTAGGCAAAAAGTAAAGGGAAAAGATGAATATTCACATTACTAAGGTTGGAATTAGATACTTCATGTATTATAATATAAACTATATACAATCACCAAATACTCTTTAAATTGGAAATTTTAATAGTTGATGAGTTTTAAAGTTGTGCAAGTCTATGGACAGTGATATGTATTCTAGTATATAGTTCATCAAATGGTAATAGTTGTTTATCTTGTATGAGATACTGTTGGCAAACGTAAAATAAATAGCTCTTCTCATCATCTCGTATACATTATGATACGTAATAGCTGGAAAACATTTTATATTATAAAACTTATGTGTGTCTTTAACATTTTTCTTTATGTAAGAAAAACTAACCAATTTTAGATTTAACTCATGTTATCTAAATGTATATAAAAAAAAATAAAAAATAAAAAAAAATGTATATACATATGTGGCCTTTTAAATGTGAAAGATTGTTGGATTTCTGTTTTATGACTGCAGGAAGTATATGTGCCTCGTTTCTTACCCAAAGCTACCAACTGCCAGTTCTTGATACAATGTTCGTAAGAAAGAAATATAGAGGCAAAGACTTTGGGCTTCATATGCTGGAGGACTTTGTTGATTCCTTTACAGAAGATGCACTTGGCTTGCGGTATCCACTGACCTCTCTCATGTACATAGGTAATTGGATTAAGTTTTTAGAAAGTTAAACTTGTCTCAGTGTCACTTCTGACTTGTTTCTGCAGGATATTTTAAATGTGCGTATATCAATATTAAGTAAATTATGTTCCTTGGCTCTCTAGGGCTTAATTTTGCAAATGTGCCCTTACCTCCACATAAATGGCATTTTGGGGGTGTGGTAACTTTTTTTAAAAGTTGAAATATAATTCACATACCATAAAATTCACCCTCTTAAAGTGTACAATTCAGTGGTTTTTTATTATATTCACAACTATGCAACCATAACCACTGTCTTTAATTCCATGACGTTCTCATCACACCAAAAAGAAATTAGCTGTCACTCTTCTATTCCCCTATTCCTTTATCCCCTAGCTGTCACTCTTCTATTCCCCCATTCCTTTATCCCCTAGCAATCAACCACTAATCTATTTTCTGTGTTTATGGATTTACCTGTTCTGGACATTTCATATGAATGGAATTGTATGATATAATTATATTGTAAGCCTTTGTGTCTAGCTTCTTTCATTTTGCATAAATGTTTTCAAGGTTCATCCATGTTGTAGCATGAATAAGTGCTTCATTTTCCTCTTTTAATGGCTGAAGAATATTCCCTTGTGTGGATATGCCACATTTTGTTTATCCACCATCAGTTGATGGACTTTAGGATTGTTTCCACTTTTTAGATATTACTAATAGTGTTACTTTGAACATTTGTGTAGCTTTTGTGTGGACATTACTCTGGTGTATATACCTAGGCGTGGATGAAATTGCTTGGTCATAACCTTTTGAGGAACTGCCAAACTGTTTCCCAAAGCAACCGCACCATTTTATGTTCTCATAAACATTGTATGAGAGTTGCAGTTTCTCCATATCCTCGCCAACACTCATTATTATTTGTCTTTTTTTTTTTTGTGGTACACGGGCCTCTCACTGTTGTGGCCTCTCCTGTAGCAGAGCACAGGCTCCGGACGCGCAGGCTCAGCGGCCATGGCTCACGGGCCCAGCCGCTCCGTGGCATGTGGGATCTTCCCAGACCGGGGCACGAACCCGTGTCCCCTGCATTGGCAGGCTCTCAACCACTGTGCCACCAGGGAAGCCCTATTTGTCTTTTTTATTAGAGCCATCTCAGTGGATGTGGAGTAGCATCTCATTGTAGTTTTGATTTGCATTCGATGTTGAGCATCTTTTCATGTGCTTATTGGTCATTTATGTACCTCCTTTGGAAAAATGTCTATTTAGATCCTTTAACCATTCTTTCTTTGGGTTATTTGTCTGTGGTGGCTTTTTAAATTAAAAAAAAAAAAGAAATTTCAGATATACAAAAAAATATAAAGAATAAGGTAACAAATACTCATGTATCATCCAGCATGTACCATCCATGAGAAGTGGATCATTGCCAATAAAAGTTGAACTTCTGTCCTATCCAATTAGCTTACTCCCTTCCCTGAAATAAGCACTATACTCAATTTGACATTTATTTTCCCCATGCATTTCTTAGACTTTTAATACATATGTATACATCCTCCAACAATGTCAGGTTGTTTTACGTATTTAAAAAGTTTAGGGGATTCCATGGCAGTCCAGTAGTTAGGACTTTGTGCTTTCACTAACGAGGGCCTGGGGTTCAGTCCCTGGTTGGGGAACTAAGATCACACAAGCTGCGCAGTGCAGCAAAAAAAGTAAAAAATTTTATATAAATAATATGTACTGTATGAATTCTTCTGTAGTTTGCTTTTTCTATTCATCTTTATCATTATGAGCTTCATTCCTGTGGATTCATGTAGCTCTATTTATTCTTTTTTAATGCTGTTTAGTATTTCATTGTGTGGATATATTGTGTTGTGGTGTTTTTAAAGCAATTAGTGGATTTATGTTTGCATTTGTGTAAAGTCCATAGCACTACTCTTTTCTTAATGAAGTAATATTTAACCTGGAAAGTAATTTATTAGAAAACTTTTATAAAATATAATTTACCATTGATTTTAACCTAACATCAGATATTTATTTCCACTGAAAAAATATTTTTGTTCTAAGTTTCTTTCCCCCCTTTTAATACCAAAAATCCATAAAACAAGAGCCAAGTGTTGCATGTCCATCTTGAATCACAGTTTCTGTCTAGACCCATACATGAGAATGGAATGAACCCTGTATACCCTTGGATAATATGAAAATGGATTTTCCTCTTAAAGTCTAATTATTGCTTTATTAAATTTGGGGAGGAATGCAAACACATCTACTGCAGGCAGACTCTCTTATTACCCTTTTTTAGGATTCTCGTGATAAATAAATTGAATACCAAATGAATTATAGGTGCTTATGTATTATGTAAGGTATCCTCTGCTATTTTAGTTATTTTATTTCAGGCAAAGGACTCGTTGTGGCCTGTTGGTTTTCTCCAGCTTTTCCCTTCCTAATAAGTATAGGAACTACAACCAGAAAACATGAGAAATATTGTCAAATATGTGGGGAAAAAGTGAGCAAATGGTATCCTTGTGTCCACATAGTGTCCAGATTAACAAATGTTCAGATTTTGCCATATTTGTTTTCATTTATTTTTTGGGAGACCTGAACAAAACGTAGATACAGTTGATGTTCTCTTTGGACCCCTCCCTAGTCCCATTCCCCTTTCTTGTTTCCTCCCCAGAGATATTTGTGTTCCTCAAGTTGATGTATATCCTTCCTGCCCATGTTTTCACACATAAGTCTATGTCTATAAACACTATAAAGCATTATTTCTTGTGCTTTTTTATTTTAAGAAATTTAAAGTTTTTAAAACTAATAATTTTAGATTTATTTTGTATATATTCTTACTTAAATGGTTACTTTTGATTTTCACACTTCCCAAAATATAATTTAAATAGCACTGAAGTTCCCCTCATTTGCCCTATTAGAGGTGTTTCCCGGAAACTGGGTTCGCCTCTTGGTGATTGTTGAGCCAGAAGACACACCAAGCCGTAGAGTGGGAGAACTTACCACCTGCAGTAAGTAAGGAGAACACCGGGGATCTTTCCCAGAGCAGTGTCTCCTCAACAGTTTTTGGTCATAAAATATACATAACATAATATTTATCATTTTAACCATTTGTAGGGGTGCAATTCAGTGGCATTAACTACATTCCCAATACTGTGTCCCCATCATCACTGTCTATACCCAAAACTTTTTCATCATCCCCAATCTAAACTCTGTCCCCTTCAATAATCCCCCTTCTCCTCTCCCCTCATTCTCTTCTTTTCTGCTGTCTGTCATGAGTTTGCTTATTCTAGGTACCTCACATAAGTGGATTCATACAATATTTGCCCTTCTGTGCCCTATTTCACATAGCATAATGTGTAAGTTCCGTCCTTTTTGTAGCATATATCAAAATTTCATTCCTTCTTATGGCTGAGTAGATTTTTATTGTGTGAATAGGTGACATTTCGTTTATCCGTTTATCTGTTGATGGATGCTTGGGTTGTTTCTACCTTTCTGTGTTTCTATGAATAATGGTGCTGTGGACATGGGTGTGCAGATGTCTGAGTCCCTGCTTCCAGTTCTTTTGGATATAAACCTAAGAGTGGAATTGCTGGGTTATAATTCTGTGTTTAACTTTTTGAAGAATTGTCAAACCATTTTCCACAGAGGCTGTATCATTTTTTAAATTATTTTATTATTTTTTATTTTTTAATTAATTTTTATTGGAGTATAGTTGATTTACAATGTTGTGTTCATTTCTGCTGTACAGCAAAGTGAGTCAGTTATACATATACTCACTCTTTTTTAGATTGTTTTCCCCATTTAGGTCATTACAGAGTACTGAGTAGAGTTCTCTGTGCTATACAGTATGTTCTTATTATCTATTTTATATATAGTAGTGTACACTACCCAGTCTCCCAGTTTATCCGACCCCCCACCCCTTTCCCCCTTGGTAACCATAAGTTTGTTGTCTACATCTGTGACTCTATTTCTGTTCTGTAAATAAGTTCATTTGTACCTGTTTTTAGATTCCACATATAAGCGGTATCATATGATGTCTTTCTCTGTCTTCACTCAGTAACGATCTCTACGTCCATGTCACTTTAAATGGCAGTATTTTGGTTTTTTTAGATGCTGCATCATTTTGTTTAATGTGTTTTTAAACTTATAAAATGACATCCTTTTGTAGGTAATATTGACTTGTTTTTTTACTGACTTTATTTTTAGATTTATCAACGTTGATTATATGTAGTTGTAGTTTATTGGTTGTAGTTGCTGTATAGTATTTTATTGTATACATAATTTATTCATATATCCCCTAATGATGGGCACCGAGGTTGTACCCCCTAAAACAGTCCTGTAATGATCATTATAGATGCCTTCTTCTGCATATGTGTAAGTCATTACAGTGTATACCTAGAAGTAGAATTGGATCATAAAATATTTTTCTTCAACTTGCCTAAGCACTTTAAAATTGTTCTCACACCAGCAGTGTGGGAGTTTCCATTTCCCTTATTTTTCTGATGCTTGTTATTATCTGATGGGTGTGAAAATGGAATCTTGCTGTTTCATCTTATATTTCCTTCACAGCTGGTGAGGTTTATCATCTTTATCTTTGTTTATTCATAAATGAGACTGCTGTATAATTTTCTTGAGTTTCCTTGGTGTTTTTGGTATCAAAGTTATGCTAGCCCCATTAAGTGACTTGGGCGGCTTACTTTCCATCTTCTGTTTGCCCAAACATTTGACTTTGGGGATTTCTAGAAAACTTTCTATGTGTTTTTCAGCTTGCAACCAGTACTTTGAAAAATATCCAGGAGACCATGAACTGCTTTGGGAAGTTGAAGGTGTTGGACACTGGTACCAGAGAATACCAATCACCAGAGCATTACAAAGAGAAACATTTAAAATTACGGGTAAAAATGTTTTCAGTTTGAACACAAGTCCAGCTTAAAAAAGCAGTGCCTAATTATGGTTGTGTCTTATAGTCCAGAGTAGTGGTGTATTGTAATGTGATCTCTCTAGTAACAGACCTCCTTTTCTAAACTTTGAATTTTTGTTATATGTAAACATTTGAGTCACTAATAGTCAGAGGACCTAGAGTAGTCCAGTAGAATGTAGCCCAGTAGTCCAGTAGGAATTGGTGGATAAGAAATAAACGCAGTTTACTCAAACAGCATAGAATAGGCATCAGTGGATCAAAGGTAGTACCCAGTTTCATGCATCTCCCCTTGAAGTCACTAAATACAGATAACCGTTTAAGACTCTTTACAATTGCAAGGCTTCATTATAAGATATTGGTGAAGGGGATATCCCACACTTGGATTTTCAACACCCTTCTTTAGGGCTTTGTAAAACTCAGTACAAAGAGTGTTACAATTGAAAGCAGACACTAACTGGTTCACAATTAAAAAAATTCTTTTACACACAGCAGTTTCTCAAAATGAAGCTAAAAGACCTGTGTCTGGAGAATACGGTCTTGGATCTGTTCCAGACTATGAAGCAGGAGCTGAAGACAGTCTGTCTAGTGAGATGCAGCTAACTGTAGGTACACTGTTGTTTACTGTAGAAAATAATAATTTTGCTGTTTTTAAAAAACATGTTCAGCTAATACTAATATTTAACTTTTTTAATGTTGTTCATTCAACAGACTTATGTAACTTCTGTTGTGTTAGTTACTTGGCATTTTCTGTTAGTTGGTTTCTAAGATTTAATTTGAAAAATAATTTGGAATACACAAAATAATATAGAAGAAATTAAAAGCTATAATTCCATTACCTTAGATGTAGCAACTAACATTTTTGTATATGTACTTAATATATATTATGAAACACGTATCTGCATATGTTTCATTTTTATTCTTTTATGCTGCTTCTAACTGCTTTTCTCCATTAACATAATATCGTAAGCATTTTCTATGTCATCACTGTTTTAAATCGTTGTTAAATAGTACACTATTCTATTATATATAAATATCAGCATTTGTTTCCTTAACATTTATACTTAAGTTTTTTGTATTTATAAGTGACCCAGCCATGAATGCATTTATACATGAATCTTTGAGCAAATGTAATTATTTCCTTGCACAGATAAATTTCTAGAAGTGGAATTAGTAGTAGGTCAAAGGTTATGAAGTTATTTTGGGAAGTCTGAGGCTATATGTGTTAGGTCTTTGTAGAATGTAATATACTTTGAAAATACTAGGTAACCTGAAAGTAGAAGGGCAGGTCCCATTACTGAATTCCAGAGGACTTACCAGGTACTTTTCTAGAAACTACTTGATATTATTTAAAATACAGGTTCATTGATGGGATCCTAGAGGTCTATTTTTATGCAGTGTTTTGTTGTGGTGACATTTAATACAGTCATATTTGTTTTGTACACGGGTATCTGAATATATTTTTAGTGAGTGTTGAATATGTCTATGTAAATGCATGTACATTTCAGAGACACAGTGCTTTGGGGAATTATTTGTGCCTTTTTTTTTTTTTTTTTTTTTTGCGGTCCGCCTGCCTCTCACTGTTGTGGCCTCTCCCGTTGCGGAGCACAGGCTCCGGATGCGCAGGCTCAGTGCCTAGCCGCTCCGCGGCATGTGGGATCTTCCTGGACCGGGGCACGAACCCGCGTGCCCTGCATCGGCAGGCAGACTCTCAACCATTGTGCCACCAGGGAAGCCCTATTTGTGCCTCTTTTCTCCTGTCTTAGTTAGCATGAGCGTTGACTATTTTGAGTAAAAGTTTTTTAAAACATTTTTAAGGATAATATAAATAATATTGATACAGTAACTATATATAAGGAGTTCAGTTTTTTGTTTTTTTTTTCTACCTTTGGAATTTCAGACTTCAGAATAAGCCCCAGTTTTATTATACTGCATTCCAAATTCCTCAGATACATTCAAATTCATTTTAGTCCTGGTGAGATATCATAAGAACAGGGAAAGTAGAAAAATCTACTCTTCTTATACATGTGGTGAGAGCAATGATCTACTTTTATATTAAGCCATATAATTTAAAATGTGTCATTTTAATGAGAACATATTAAAATTTCACCATATTATAAGGTTGGCAATATAAATTAGACTTTTTTTCATTTTAGAAATTCATATTCCTTATATTACTTTAATATTTTAATTAATTCAAGGAAAATATTTCTCATATTAAACTATTATCTTTTTTTTTAAATCAGTAGCCACATGGGGAAGTGGTTTTGTTTGTTTATCTTAACTACGTAATTTTTTTTAGCTTTATTGAGGTATAATTGACAAAAATTGTACATATATAAGGTATACACCTTCATGATAAAGATGATAAATGCTTGAATTAAAGCATTGGTAGTACAAAAGAGGGGGCAGTTTTGAGAGATTCTTCAGAGTCAAAATTGACAGGCTTTGTGGTTGATTGAATGAGGGACAAGAAGAAGGCATTACTGCCTCACAGGATTTTGGTTGGAATGGCATACTGAATTGTTATTGCCATTAACCAAGATAGAGGATAATATTGGGAAAATGTAAGATTTCAGTTTGGGACAAGTTGGATGTGAAATTGGTGGAGTATCCGCTGGAGAGAGATTTCACTGGAAATAGAGCTTTGAAAATTGGGGAAAGAG